AAGGCCTTGGGGTACGTGTGGGGGCCAATCCTGGCGCAGTGGAATGGCCAGAACCTTCGGATTTTCGCTAATCGCGGAGAGGCCGGGCGCGATTAGCGAAAACCCGATGCTTTTTGAGACCTCCACGCCCGGCCTTAATCGGTTACGATAGCCCTCTTGGGTCGGGCGCCTCGTGGGGCGGCTTGGGGCAATCTTGGGGGTGTGAGGCCGTCTCGGACCTCGCGTTGGGCTCCCGTGGGCGGCATTTGCGGCTGTGCTGGGCCCTGCTGGGGGTCACTTGAGGCTTCGGCGACACGTGCGAGTTCGGAACCAACGCCTGGACCTGCGGACCAACGCCTGGACCTGCGGGCCGTGGATTTCCACGGGTTCACACTAGTCTATAGTATATGACCGGAGGAAGCGCGTGCCGGAAGGAAATCCAGTCAAATGCCGGGAAACAGCTCCGAGACGCTCCAGAGGCCGCCCCGACGGCCCAAAGACGGCTCCGAGCCGCTCAAGATGCCCCGAAGGCGGCCCAGGAGGGCCCCGAGACGCGCAATGATCCGGCCAAGACGTCCAAGATTGGCCCAAGACGGCCCAAGAGCTCCCCAAGACGGCCCAATAGGCCTCCCAAGAAGCCTCCCACGAGAGCCCCGAGAGGCCAAAATCGTTGATTCTCATTGGTTTTCCCGAGGTTTTTGCTTCCTCGCTTTTCCGGTTTCCCGACGCTCCGAAACCCTCCCAGAGGCATCCAAGACCGCTCCAAGACGGTCGAAGAGGTCCCCAGCAGGACCCCAAGACGGTCCAAGAGGGCCCCAAGACGGTCCAGGCGGCCCCTGGACGGCCCCAGAGGCGCCCAAGACAGGCCAGTGGGACCCCAAGATGGCCCGCAGAGCGGCCCAAGATGGCTCCAAGACGGCCCGAGGAACCGCCCAGAGCTCGCCAAGACGGCCCAATAGGCCTCCCAAGAGGCATCCCAGGAGAGGCCCGAGAGGCCAAAATCGTTGACTTTCATTGGTTTCCCCGAGGTGTTTTGCTTCCTCGCTTCTTCGGCTTCCCGACGCTCCGAAACCCTCCCAGAGGCATCCAAGACCGCTCCAAGACGGTCCACGAGGTCCCCAAGAGGACCCCAAGACGGTCCAAGAGGGCCCCAAGACGGTCCAAGGCGGCCCCAGGACGGCCCCAGAGGCGCCCAAGACAGGCCACCGGGACCCCAAGATGGCCCGAAGAGCGGCCCAATATGGCTCCAAGACGGCCCGAGGACCGCCCAGAGCTCGCCAAGACGGCCCAATAGGCCTCCCAAGAGGCATCCCAGGAGAGGCCCGAGAGGCCAAAATCGTTGACTTTCATTGGTTTCCCCGAGGTTTTTTGCTTCCTCGCTTCTTCGGCTTCCCGACGCTCCGAAACGCTCCGAACCCCCCCCAGAGGCATCCAAGACCGCTCCAAGACGGTCGAAGAGGTCCCCAAGAGGACCCCAAGACAGTCCAAGAGGGCCCCAAGACGGTCCAAGGCGGCCCCAGGACGGCCCCAGAGGCGCCCAAGACAGGCCAGACCCCAAGATGGCCCGAAGAGCGGCCCAAGATGGTTCCAAGACGGCCCGAGGACCGCCCAAGAAGGCCCTAGGGGGCCCCAAGACAGCCCAAGGGGCGCGATAGACGAGCCCAGAGAGGCCCAAGAGGCCCCCAGGAGCCCAAAAGAGGTCCCCAAGAGGTGCCACGGGCTTAAAAACTGCTTCGAAGCGAGGGGGGCGGACGAGGGGACCGCCTCAGGAGGTTTTGGACGGTTTTGGGCATCAAGATCATCCGCTTTACGGCGGTTTTGGCAGGATTTTGGCCTTCTCGCCTTTTCCGCTTTCCGACGCTCGAAGACGGCCCAAGAGGCCTCCAAGAGCGCCCCAGAACGGCCCAAGAGGTTTCCAAGAGCGCCCCAGGACAGCCCAAGAGGGCCCCAAGACGACCCAAGAGACGCTCAAGACGGCCCACGAGGGCCCGAAGACAGGCCCAAGAGGGGGCCAAGAGAAGGACCACGGACCGAAACTCCGAGCCTTCCGCCCCAAGAGGGCGCCAGGAGGCCCAAACAGGCCCCCAAGAGGCCCCAAGGGGCCGCCAAGAATCCCCCGAAGAGGCCCCAGGAAGCTCCCAAGGAGCCCAAAACGAGGCCCCAACAGAGGCCCCAACAGCTTCCAAAATGGCCCAAAGAGGCCTCGAGCCCGCCTCCGAGCTTCCTCGCCGCGAGGGTGCCAACACGGCCCCAGACGGGCCCAGGACGGCCCAAGGCGCGCTCAAGACGGCCCAAGACGATTCCAAGACGGTCCCAGGAGGGTGCGCCCAGGACGGCCCAAGGACGCGCCCGGTCGGGGCCTCAAGACGGGCCAAGATGGCAAGAGAGCCCAGCTGGCAAAAATCGTTAATTTTCCATTGTTTACTGTGACACCCTTTGCGTTTCCCGCCGTTTCGGCGGTCCGATGCACCAAGAGGCCCCAGAAAGTCCCAGGAGGGTCCGAGGAAACGCCCAGGAAGGCCCCAAGACGGGCCAAGACGGACCCAGCACAACCCAAGGCGCGCTGCGACGGCTCAAGACGGCTCCAAGACAGCCCCAAGAGGGTGCCAACACGGCCCCTGCTGGGCCCAGGACGGCCCAAGGAGGCGCACAGGAGGGGCCCAAGACGACTCCAAGGCGGCCCCCTCACGGTCCCAGACGGCTCCAAGACAGCCCCACGAGGACCTCGATGGGCCCAGGACGGCCTACGGACGCGCCCATGAGGGGCCCACGACGAACCAAGACGGCCCCATCACGGCAAACGGCGCCCTCAAGACGGGCATGGACGGCTCCAAGACGGCCCTTTGAGGGAGCCAACGCGGCCCCACACCCTTCGGGCGCACACTTGGGGGGGCTGGGAGCTTGCGACAAGTCTCCCACATTCATTGTCCTGCCCCATTCTGTTCGCCTGGAGGCCTCCTCCAACCCTGTGGGCGAACAAGAGGAAACCCAGCGGGCCGCCAACCCTGGGGCCCGTGGGCCCCGCGCCGCTTGGGCAGAAGACGAACGCCGGGTCTGACAGGCCAGCTACCGCCCCCCTTTGCCCGATATGCTGTGCCATTCTGTTCCCCCAGGGGCCTTGGCAAACTCTTCGGGCCAAGCAGACCGGACCCCTGGGACAGCAGCCAATTGATATGACCCTGGGACCTCTCCGCATTCTTCGGACGAGCACCTGGGGGGCCCAGGAGATTCGGACAAGTCTTCCCCATTCCTAGCCCTGTCCCGTTCTGTTCGCCCGAAGGCCTCCACAGACCCTCTGGGCGAACAGAATGGGACATGGCGAACAAACCCTCCCGTTGGCGGTGATGCGACTGGAACGCACCATCAAGGCGCGCCCGTAGGTGATGGCCTACCCAACAGCGGTTTCTCTAAATATTTTACAGGATTTCGAATTTTCTTGAAGCTCTCTTGGGCCCTCCCTGTAGATCCTTGCGAGCCTCCCCGGCGCTTTCGGTGGCTTTCCCCGATGGTCTCCCGAGCCCTTCCCCAAGCGCTCCTGAGACGCCTCAGATGGGCTTCGACTTCGACACACATTCCCGAGAGACTTCGAAACTGTCCTCAATAGGAGGGGGGTGAACGAGCAGTGCGCTGGGCCAAGCTGCTGGAGCGCTGCAAGAGCTCGGACACGAAGGCGCGGTCTCGCTGCCGCCGCCCGAGCCGCCGCCGTGTTTGTAGATTTTCGGTACAATCTGCGCCGTTCCTCCGAGAACCATTCCAGAAAGATGTCGTGGACGGAGTCCACGGGTCAGCCCTAGTCAGCTACAACGCTGGGATCAGCGCGTGCGAGAAGGGCGAGCAGTGGCAGGCGGCGCTGGCGCTGCTGGGTGAGATGCGGGAGGCGAAGCTGGAGTCCAATATCATCAGCTACAGCTCTGGAATCAGCGCGTGCGAGAAGGGCGGCCACTGGCAGCCGGCGCTGGCGTTGTTGAGCGAGATGCGGGAGGCGGAGCTGGAGCCCAACGTCATTTGTATTACAATTCCGGGCGAAGCGCGCGCGAGAAGCACAAGCAGTGGCAGCGCCCCGGGCCGCCCTGAGAGCTCGCGGGCCGCCCGGAGAGCCTCCAGGCCGCTGCCCGACGGGCGCTGAAGGCCCCCGGACCGCTCGCGGACTGATCCAGGAGTCCCAGATCGCCCCAAGACGGCCTCAGGAGGTCCCGAAGACGGCCCAAGACGGTCCAAGAGTGTATCCGATACGTTTAAGATGGCTTCAAGACGCCTTCAAGACGGCCCGAGACGCCTCCACGAGGCCCCCACAGCGCTCGAAGTGCACCTCCAAGAGGGGCCGCAGAAGCCAAAATCGTTGATTTTCTTTGTTTTTGTTCCCCTTGTTTCTGGCCTTCTCGCTTTTTCGGCTGTCCGACGCTCCACGGCCGCCCAAGAGGCCCCCAAGACCGTTCCAAGACGGCCCAAGAGGCTTTCAAGACGGCCCCAAGACGGCCCAAGAGCGCCCCAAGACAGCCCAAGAGTCGCCCAAGACGGCCCAAGAGGGCCCCAAGAAGGCCCCAAGACAGGCCCAAGACAGGGACCCGGAACCGAAAAATCTAGGCCTCCACCCAAGAAGCCCCCAGGACGCCCCAAGACGCCCCAAAGAAACGCCGGGACGCTCCCAAGACATCCCCAGGAGGCCCCAGGACGCCCCAAAGAGGCTCCAAGAAGCCCCCCAGAGGCCGCCAAGCGCCCCAAAAGGCCCCCAAGAGGCCCCAAAAGAGTGCCCAAAAGGCCCCAAGACGCCCCAAAACTGCTACCAAGAAGCCCCCAAACTGTCTCCCAGAGGCTCCCGAGAGGCCAACCACGAGATCCCAACCAACATCCACGAGATCTCTTACCCATTACCCAGGCCCGCGGCGAGATTGCCCGCAGGCCACTACAGCCGGTTCGGGGGCCCTACGTATACCAGCACCCGCACCTTTGGCTGTATCGGGAGCCTCACCGCTGCTCTCTCGGTTCTGCTGGCTTCGACCTGCCAGAGCTCTGAGCCGCTCCCCGACGGTTCCCGGACCCCCACATCGCTCCAAGACGGCCCCAAAGACGCCCAAGAGAGCCGAAGCCGATCCGGCCAGAGCCCCACGACGCCCAAGAGGGCCGAAAACGACCTCCGAGACGGTCCGAGACCCCCAAGATCGCCCCAAGACCTCCCTGCGCGGCCCCCAACTGAGGCCCGCAAACGTGTTCCCCTGATTCTGACTATGCCTGAAACGCCATGTGTTTTTGCTAATCGCCCCCAGGCCCAGCGCGATTAGCAAAAACCCATTCCTTTTCACGCTTCCACGTCAGTGCCCCTGGAGCTCCCCCGACTGCTTTCCGGGGTGGCCCCCAGACGTGGCCCCGTAAACGTCGGCCCCACACGTGGCCCCCAAACGGGACCCCCAAAGGCGGCTCCCACATAAAGCCTCCGAAGGTCGCCCCTCCCGCCCCAGTAAGCGTGGCCCCCGAACGTCGCCCCCACGAGTAGCCGCCAGGCGCCCCCAAACCTGGCCCCCACACATAGCCCCAACCATTGCCCTGAAGCGTGACCACACATCTGCCTCCGAAGGTCGCCCCTACCGCCTGTCCCATGGACGCCCGAGCTGTTCAACTTCAACGAGCTGGTCGCCTATGGCGTGCGAGTCCAAGGCTCAGCACGCCGTGGATTTAATCCACGGGTTCACACTAGTCGGCTACAGCGCTGGGATCAGCGCGTGCGAGAAGGTCAAGCAGTGGCAGCGGGCGCTGACGCTGCTGAGCGAGATGCGGGAGGCGAAGCTGGAGCCCAACGTCATCAGCCACAACGCTGGGATCAGCGCGTGCGAGAAGGGCGAGCAGTGGCAGCGGGCGCTGGCACTGCTGAGCGAGATGCGGGAGGCGAAGCTGGAGCCCGACGTCATCTCTCCTACATGGCGGGAGGAAGCGCGTGCCAAACCTGCGGGGACTCATGTGCATAAACTCGCCCCTTTACGGCCTCACCACGTGGTCGATTCGCCCACGAGGGCCCAACAGGGGCCCAAGAGCGGCTGCAAGACGGTCCGCGAGCGCTCCTAGACGGCCTCAGTTGGTGCCGAGACGGTCCTTGACGCTCCAAAGACTTCCGAAGGTGGCTGCAAGACCGTCCAAGAGGTCCCCAAGACGTTCCGAGAGGGCCCCGAGAAGATGCCAGAGAGGGAAAAAAACGGTTGTTCAGCATATTCGCCTTATGCGTTGTTACACGGTCCAGGACTGGCCAAGAGGCCCCCCCAACAAAAAACAAGACGACCCAAGCGGCTCCCAAGAGGGCCCCAAGACGGTCCAAGAGGGCCCAAAGACGGCCCAAGGGGGGCCCTCAAACGGCTTGAGAGGGCCCCAAGATGGCTCCAAGAGGGCCCGAAGAGGCTCCCAAGAAAGCCCTCCAGAGAGCTCCAAGACGGTCCAAGGCCTCCAAGACGCCCCAAAGACTTCAGAAGTCGGCTCCAAGACGGTCCAAGAGGCCCCAAAGACGCTTCGAGAGGGCCCCGAAAGGACGCCAAAAAGGCAACAATTGACAGATTCCTATGGGAAAACGTACATGTTCAGCATATCCGCCTTTTGCGATGTTACACAGTCAAGGACAGACCAAGAGGCCTCCCAAAAACCCCCGAGACGACCCAAGCGGCCCCCAAGAGAGCCCCAAGACTGTGCAAGAGGGCCCAAAGACCGCCCGAGGGGGCCCTCAAACGGCTTGAGGGGGCCATAGAGACCCCAAGAGGGCTCCAAGAGGACCCGGCTCCCAAGAGGGCCCCAGGAAGCCCTCCAGAGAGCCCCAAGACGGTCCAAGGCCTGCAAGGCGCCCCAAAGACTTCAGAAGGTGGCTCCGAGAGGGACCCAAGAGGACGCCAAAGAGGCAAGAATCGTCACATTCCTTTGAGAAAACGTACATGTTCAGCATATCCGTTTTTGGGGTGCGTTTTTACACAGTCCAGGACAGACCAAGAGGCCCCCAAAAAAAACCCAAGACGACCCAAGCCGCCCCCAAGAGGGCCCCAAGACGGTCCAAGAGGGCCCAAAGGCGGCCCAAGGGGGCCCTCAAACGGCCTGAGAGAGCCCCAAGACGGCTCCAAGAGGGCTCCAAGAGGGCCCGACGAGGCTCCCAAGACGGCCCCGGGAAGCCCTCCAGAGAGCTCCAAGACGGTCCAAGGCCTCTAAGACGCCCCTTGACGGCCCAAACGGGCCCCAAGATGTCCCAAAACAGCAACGGAACGGCCCAAAAGGGCTCCTGAAGGGCCCGAAAAAGTCCCCCACAAGGACCACTGAGAAGGCGCACAGACGTCAAATACAAGAGCGATCGGTACAGTAAAAAGCTTTTCAATCCAAGGCTCCCAAGAGCGAACAGAACAGAATAAGCTCTTCAACCCGAGGCTCCCGAGAGCGAGCCGCAACGTCAAAAACTCTGCAACTGGAGCCCGAAGCTATCATCATCCCCTCAATTCTGGGACAAGTGCGTGGGCCAATCGCTTTCTCGGCCTCCAGCGGCGTCGGCACTGCCTCCGGGTCCCTGTGGGCTCTGGGTCCCCAAGACGTCGCAGAGACAGCCTTCGGTAATATCCGAGATGGCCAGGATTAACCCCGACAGCCGCCAGACAGGGCCCCCGACAGATCTCAAGCGGTTCCAATAGGCGTCCAAAAGGCCCCTGGACGCCCCAAGAGGCCTTGCAGGAATTGTCCAGAAGACCACGGCAACTGCAAAGCTTTCCAACACCCAAAGGAAGATGTATGTCTTTTGCTTCGCAGGCTTGTCGACGCGAGACAGCTCCAAGACGGCTTCGGGGGAGACTCTTGGGCTCCTTGCGGGCCACCTGGAGCCCTCTGGGGACCCCCATCCAGCCTCCTGGGTTGTTTTCGGGGCCTCCTTGGGCCGTCTCGGTCCGTCTTCGGGTCGTCTTTGGGCCCTCTGGGCGGTCTTTGACTGCTTGAAAAGAGCCCAAGGGCGGCCCCAGAGGGCTCCCAGACTATTAAAGAAGGCTTCGGAGAGCTTCCAGACGGCCCGACACGCCCTCCAGAGAGCGCCACGACGGCCCAACAGACCCCCGAGACGGCCCAGGACGGCCCCAAGAGAGCCCAACGAGGCCCCCAATAGTTTCGGCCATAGGGCCCCCCAGCACGGCCTCCATATCTGGCAGCACACACGCCAGCAGCGGCAGCAACTAGTAGCTAGCAGCAGAAAATAAGCAGCCACTGCATTGCCCGCTACCGGCTGGCGGCCATCCCCGCTGCCGTGGCGTGCGGCAGAGGGTCAGTTGCGACCGCCAGGCTTGCCAGCATGCTGGCAGTGACGTCGGGAAGACAACTGTCTGGCTACCAGCTATGCGCGCAAAACAGCAGGCAAGCGATCTCAGATTCTGCACGCGGGCAAGCTATCGTGGACGTAAGTCCACGGGTCAGCTCTAATCTATACTCTAACGCCCGGGGAGCCGCGTGCCAGAATGGCGGGGGACCCAGTGTGGCAAAACCGCCCTCGGGCGGGCCCAGACGGACCCCGGACGGCCCAAGAGGCCCCATGACAGCCCAAGAGGAGCCCAAGAGGGCTCCAAAAGCGGCTCAAGGCGGCCCAAGACGGCCCTAAGGCAGCACAAGAGGCGCCCAAGTGGCCCCAAGACGTTCCCAGAGGCTCCCAAGACGGCCCTGGAGGACCTCCCAGCAGAGCCTCAAGAGGCCATTATCCTGCTTTTCGTTTCCGACGCGTCCACGACGGCCATAAAGGCCCCCAAGATCGCCCTAAGATGCTCCCATGAGGGCCCCAAGACCGCCCACGACGACCCCAGGACGGCTCCTGAGGTGCCCCTGGCGACCCACGGGGTACCCAAGACAGCTTCAAGAGCGGCCCAGGACGGCCCAAGACGAACCCCCGACGGTGCCCAGACTGCCCCAGAGACGCCCAAGGCGGACCCAGGCAACCCCCAGATGGCCCCGACAATGCCTCAAGAGCGGCTCAGGACGGCCGAAGACAACAGCCGGACGGTGCCCAGATTGCTCCAGCGACGCCCAAGGCGGACCCAGGCAACCCCCAGACGGCCCCGACAACGCCTCAGATGGCCTGCAGGCGGCCCATGAGGCTTCCAAAACGCTTCAAGTGCTCCACGACGAGCCCCAAGAGAGCCCGAACACCGAAAAATCGTCCCATTCCCTCGAAAAATCGTCCCATTCCCTCCGGAAATCGTACATTTTGGCAGTTCCTGGGCTTGCCCTCTTCATAGCGTCCACGACGGCCATACAGAGGCCCAAGATGGCCCTAGGACGGCTCCTGAGCCGCCCCTGGCGGCCCACGGGGCACCCAAGACAGCTTCAAGAGCGGCCCAGGACGGCCCCAGACGGTGCCCAGACTGCTCCAGAGACGTCCAAGACGGCCCCAGGCAACCCTCAGACGGCCCCGGACCGCCTCCACACGGCCCAAGGGGCACCCGAGACAGCCCAAACCCAGGAGGCGCCCAGGAGGCCGAAAAGAAGCGCTGAGAGGCTCCAAACGACCCCCAGGGGCCCTAAGATCACGGCCCAAGAAGCACCGAAGACAGCACCAGCAGCAGCCAAAGACGGCCTAAGACTGCCACAGACGGTCCCAAAACGGCTCCCAGCGCACCATGGGCCTTTGATGCTTGTTTGGCGCTCCCTGCTGGATTTGGCCCTTTTTGTCGGTCTGGAGCCCTCTCCGCGGCCTCTTGGGGCCATGCCGTGTTTCGCTCTTCTAGCGGCCCAGAATCGACTCGGCCGACCCCGGAAGCGCGCGCGGCCGCCCAGAGCGCGTCGGGCGGGATTCTGGGTCGGCGGCGCGGTGGCCCGGAATCGGTCCCGCCGATTTTGGGCGGGCGGCCATTATGGAGCTATGTTGGAGGCGTGTTGGTGATCTTGGGGCCCCTCAGAGGGCCCCCAGACGGCCCCAGAACGCCCCGAGAAGGTCGGACCCAACGCAACGACAAAGCCCGACCCGATCCCAAGGGAGCCCTTGAGCGCCCCAGGTGGGGCGTCCAGACGCTCCTCCGTCTCTTCGCTCAGCGATGTGTGGCAGGCGAACATGACGCCGTTCATCCTGATCGCCTTGCAGCGGCACCCCTTCACCCGGCAAGTGGACGTAGTCCACGGGTCAGCCCTAGTCTCTATTACAATGCAGGAGACCGCGCGTGCGGGAAGGGTCTTGGCTGGATTGGCGCAGTCGGCGCCCTGGCGGCCCCACGACGGCTCTGAGACGCTCCCGAGGCCACCTCGACGGCCCAGAGACGGCTCGGAGGCGCTCCCGAGGCCACCCCGGTAGCCCCAGAGGCCTCCAGGGCAGGCCAGGACGCTCTCAAGACACCTCTGGAGGACCTCCGGGAGAGGTCCCAGAGGCCAAATACGGCCCATTCATTGGGGAAAGCGTGTATTTTTAACATTCTGCTGCTTTTCGTTGCGACTGCGTCCAAGACACTCCTGCGGGCTCCCACGATCTGTCCAAGATGCCTCCGTGAGGGCGCCAAGACGGCCCAAGACGACCCCCCGGACGGCCCAACAGGCGCCCAAGACGGCCCATGAACGGCCCGAAGACGGCTCGGAGGCGCTCCCGAGGCCACGCCGGGAGCCCCAGAGACCTCCAGGGCAGGCCAGGACGCTCTCAAGACACCTCTGGAGGACCTCCGGGAGAGGTTTCAGAGGCCAACTACGGCCCATTCCCTTGGGAAAACGCGTATTCTTGACATTCTCGTGCTCCGCGTTGCGACTGCGTCCAAGACACTCCTGCGGGCTCCCAGGATCAGTCCAAGATGCATCCGTGAGGGCCCCAAGACGGCCCACGACGACCCGCGGACGGCCCACCAGGCGCCCAAGACGGCCCATGAGGCATCCAAGATAGGCCCAAGAACCACCCAAGACCGCCCAAGATGGCCCCAAGACGGCTCAAGACGGCC